TCATAACATTCAGTTTCAATTGTTTTGTGGTTGTTATTCTCTTTTTAAAAAATTTATTTATTTTTAGTTTTCAAGATTCACTTCTACAAGATCTTGAGTTCCAAATTTTCTCCCCATCTCTCCCCTCCCCCCACCCTAAGACTGTGTGTATTCTGAATAACCTTTTCCCCAATCTGCCCTCCCTTCTATCACCCTCCTTTCTCTTTTCCTCTCCCCTTTCTATTTTCCTATAGGGCAGGATAGATTTCTATACCCCATTACTTGTATATCTTATTTCCCAGTTGCATGTGAAAACAATTTTTAACATTTGTTTTTAAAACTTTGGGTTCCAAATTCTCTCCCTTCCTCCCTGCCCACCCACCCTCATTGAGAAGGCAAGCAACTAGATACAGGTTATACATGTGTAGTCATGCAAAACATTTCTATAATAGCCATGTTGTGAAAAACTAACTATATTTTCATTCATCCTATCCCAACCCCCATTTATTCTATTCTTTCCTTTGACCCTGTCCCTCCTCAAAAATGTTTGCTTCTGATTACCTCCTCCCCAGTCTGCCCTCCCTTCTATCATCCCCCCCTTTCTTATCCCCTTCCCCCTATTTTCTTGTAGGGTAAGATAGATTTCCATGTCCAGTTGAGTGTGCATGTTATTCCCTCCATAAGCCATGATTTATTGTTTTGTTGATTATCTAAACTTATGAAAGTGGTGGAAAAAAATGGTAATAATGAAAATTAAATTTTAAAATGTGTTGTGCGTACATTTTGTTCAAAGAGCCAGTTGTTAAACATTTACCAGCACACTCATGGTGCTTACTATGTGTCAGGCACTATATCCTAAGAAAGGTTCAGAGCTTCTAGGGGACTCAGAGGAGGAAGGGAGCACATCCTGCCAGGAGGCCCAGGATGGCTTCTGGGAGCAGATATCATTATTGGTATGTTAAAAAGAGTTAGGATTCAAAGCCCAGCCAGTTCAGACACAAAGCATCTGGGCCATTTTTATCTCTGGGTTTCCTCTCTCAAATCCTGCAAAAGTTTAAATCTTGTGATTTGAGATCATTATTGAAAGATGGCCACAATTTCACATGGGAATGGGCATGAGGTTGTGTCTGAGAGGCTGTAAGCAACGTGGAAGGCTTTGAGGCAGAGAGTGGCAGTGGAGATGTAGTGAACAGTCAGCCTGGGGTCAGAAAGATCTGGGTTCAAGTTCATCCTTGGACACATGCTGGCTGGGTAACCTGGGACAAGTCCCAGCTTCTCGGTGGCCCTGGCAACTCTAGGACTAAACACTCCCCAACAGCTGCTAGATCTTCACTGGTAGAGAGACGTCCCTCACTGAGAGGTGTCCGTATCAATGGGATCTCAGGTCTGGTTAAATAATACTAAAGTTGGCCTGGGAATTTACCCAGGAATGGGGAGCCACTGAATATTATTGAGGTAGATGAGTTTGCCATTGATGTGAAGGATGGCCAACAGGGTCATAAATGTGAAGCTGGGAGTGACCTTGGAGGCCATAGAATCCACAGACAAGCCCCCCAGAATATGAGAGGATCAAATGGAAAGACTGGCAATCCCAGCTATAACTAGAGTTTTGGGCAGCTGGGGTGAGCAGCACTGACCAGGGCCAGCCCTCAGATCACCTCTGTGATGTGATCATTGTTTAAAATCCAGTAAGAAGTTGTTGTTGAGGCATTTCAGTCATGTGAGACTCTTCTTGGCTCCCTTTGGGCTTTTCTTGGCCAAGATCCTGGAGTGGTTGGCCATTTCTGTCTCCATTTACAGATGAGGAAACTTAGGCAAACAGGGTTAAATGACTTGCCCAGGATCACACATCTAGTAAGTGTCTGAGGCCAGATTTGAACTCAGGAAGAGAAGTCTTTCTGACTTGAAGCCTTGAAGCTCTATCCACTGCAGCACCACTTAGCTTCCCATAAAGTAATTAAGACCATAAGTAATAATTAATACAGTAAGGAAGAAGTAATGAAGACATGCATTTGAATGGGAGACAGAATGGTACTCAAGGGATCTTTCCCTTCCTTTGTGCTGTGGGCTCCTTGGGCAGTAGTCTAGAGAAGGTCATGGACCCCTTCTCAGAATCATGTATGCATAAAACACTTGGAATCACAGAGGAAAGTAATTATATTGAAATATGGTTGTCAAAATATTAAAAAAGCCCACACAAGCTCATGGATCCTGCCCCAGTGATGTAGGGGTTAATAACCTCTTGGTGTTGGCCAGGCTTGGTGGTCATTTACCCAAAACACAGTATTTGGGCCCTGTGTTCCTTCTGCCTAGCCAGGGAGGCCTTGTCAGGAGAGAAGGTGTTACCCAGATAAATCAGAGAGGGGCTGCTGCTTCTGGGAAGAGGGGAGGAGAAAGGCTGGCCCACCAGCAGGGACAGAAGCAAAGCCCCACTTAATCCCAGGCTCATTAGAGCTCACGTATATGGCAGTGGTAACAAAGAGATGGAAATGGGATGGCTTTGAGAGGCCTTGCTGAGGCAGAAACAGCAGGACTTAGTTACTGGTTGCATGGGCTGGGTTGAAGAAGAGAACTGAGTCAAAATTGTCTCTGGGGTTCTGAGTAGGGGGCTGGGAGGCTGCCCCCTGGTTTCTCGGCAGAAATAAGGACATCCCGAGAAGCAGCTGGGAGGGGTGTGGGGCGTAGAGGCTGAGTTCAGTCTTCTTTATCACTGCCCACCAACTGCTGCCTAGGCTTAGAGCAAGATAGGTGAATCTACCCAGCCTGCCCACCCTCAGGGGGCCCCATCAGGGCTGGAGACCCAGGGGGCACAAACAGGCATCTGGTCACACACATGGCTGAAACAAAGCGGCAGATTGTGAATAGAGAAGAGTGTCTGTGTGTGCGTGTGTGTGTCTGTGTATGTGTGTGTGTGTGAGGGGTGTCTAAGAAGGAGTCTCCTACCCTGGGGTAGGGGGTGCCCCCAGCTGACTCAGGTTTTCATTAAGCTGGTTTCACTCTATGTAAAATTAACTTTTGATTATCCAGAGCAAAAAGGAAAGTTAATTGAAATAATTGGAAAACTTCTCAAAGATAAAAGCACCATCAAAAAACTGGTCTATGATTCTCCCCATTAACTGAAGGGGACGTGGGTTCATTCACTCCTCAAATCACTCATTTCTTCTGCCCCTCAGTCCTCCCTTCCCCTATTCATTCATTTCTCCATTAAACATTCAGACCCCAGACCACCTTCTCTTGGCCCCACCTCGCCGCCTAGGACATTCAAAAAGCATTTGCCAGCTTGCCTTACTCACTCATTCGGTCGAACTTGTTAGGCTCTGTCATGATAAATTCTATGCAGACCCTTGATTTTTTTTTGGAAGGGAGGGTTTAAGGCAGTGCAGTTAAGTGACTTGCCCAGGGTCACATAGCTAGTAAACGTTATGTGTCTGGGGCCGGATATGAACTCAGGTCCTCCTGAATCCAGCGCCGGTGCTCTATCCACTGCACCACCTAGCTTCCCCTATGGCCCTTGATTTTCAAAGACCAAAGTGCAGCAGTCCTGCCTTCAAAGAGCTTCCATTCTGTGGTCCTATGTACATGTATGTGAGTTTAGGCAGACTCCATATAAGGTGATTTCAGGAGGGTGCACACCAGCTGGTGAGGCAGGGGCAGATGAGAAAGGAGAAGCACATTCTTGAGCTGAGTCAAAGAGGCGGGGAGGATGTGGCCGAGGGGACAGCCTGGGCTGTGGCTTCCTCCTGATTTGGCTGCCCAATTAGGCCTGGCACTTTCCTGGGTTCCCTGCCCTCTCTTCTGTAGTCAGTTTCCCTTTCTGATTCCAGTCCATAACAGCCCATCTGCCTGTTCAGAGTTTGCAGTGTCCGGGCAGTGGCAGGAGACGTGCTTCAGGAGTGGAGAATGTAACCCGGGATTTTCGGGAGAACTCCCAGTGAAAGGTTCATTCTGGGTCTCAGAATATTAGAAGTGGAAAGATGCTTGGAGACCATTGAATTTGGCCAGCTCATTTTACAGCTGAGGCCCAGAGAGGGGAGGTGACTTCACTAAGGTCACATTTTTCATGATGCCCCATAGCCTCCCAATAGAGAGATCGAATCTCTGTCAGCTCTACTGTGTCAATGTGTTTGACCTGAGGAGTACAGGGCTGGGAGGAGGGCAGATTTATGACCAGTGGGCTGCATGGAGTACTGGGGAGTGGTTGATCTGGAGCCAATCCTGCCTCTGACCCTTACCAGCTGTGTGGCGGTAATGGGTGAGTCACAGAACCTCTCCTCTCAGGCAGTGGGGTAGAGCCTTTGGAACTGGAGTCTGTAGGTATGCATCTCAGCCCTGCCACTTCCTGCCTCCGTAACCTTCCTGGGCCTCAGTTTTGTAAAATGAGGAGGTTATGGTAGGTGGTCTGTCAAGAACCTCCCCAATGATGAAATTCCAATTGGGCAAATTCATTCAATCAGTTATAAAGCTTTCCAGAACCCTGTGAACTTTTCCCAAACTGTTAATGGCCCAGGAGAGAAGTTGGTCATTTATTCAATCCTAACTCTGTGTCAGACACTTGCTGTGAATACAAAGAAAAGCAAAACCAGCCCCTGGCTTCTAGGAACCTAATGGGAGTGGACAGCGTCTAAGTAATGAGGAACATACAAGGTGTGTCCAGTGTAAATGGGAGGTAACTCAGAGTGCTACCTGTGGGGCAGAGGACAGACTGGGAAAAGCTTCCTGCCGAAGGTGGGCTTTGGGCTGAATCATGACGCCTTAGCAACTTAGCACTGTGCTAAGGAGGCAAAAACAAAACGAAAACCCAAAGCAGCCCTGCCCTCAGGAAGCTCACATTCTGGTAGGGGGGACCACATGCAAATAAGCAAGATATAGACGAGTCATTGGCCATGATCACCAGAGAAGCCACTAAGATTAAGGAGGGCTGGGAAAGGCTTCTTGCATTAAAAGGGCCAGAATCCAGTCATGGCCTCCAAAGATGGAAAAGCAGGGAAGCTGCAGTGAGCCTGCTGTCTCTCTCCTCACAGACGAGGACTGTAAGAAGTACCTGAAGAAGCAGAGGGAGGCGGAGGCCGAGAAGCCGCTGCAGGTGCCCGCTGTGGATAGCAGCAACCCTCAGACGTCGGAGCTGGCAGGCATCACCATTCTGGATGACCCACGGGGTAATGGGGCAGAGGGAAACAGGAGAGGGGCAGTGAAGAAAGCCTTTCCTGGGCTCGCCTTGGAGGATGCAGGGGGGCTTAGGTTTTTACAGCTGGGATGGCTGGGGCTGGACACTCCCATCAACTACCACTCAGCCACATGTGGTCTGCTGTCTTGGCAGATAATCTTTGACAAAGCCAAACCAACTTCTCCCCTCACCCTCCTCGGACCATCATGTGTCCTCAGGGAATAGAGACTTCTTTTTAACAATGACCTGGACAGAATGGAATTAATAGATGAATCAGAAAAAGGATTCCAAAGCCAACATAATTCCTGGATTAGCTGAAGTTTTTGTTTTTTCCATTTAGTATCTTATTTTCCCCCAGTTACATGTAAAAACAATTTTTAACATTCGTTTTTAAAATTCTGAGTCCCAAATTCCCTCTGTCCCCCCCCCCCACTGAGAAGGCAAGCAATTTGATATAGGTTTTACATGTGTAGTCATGCAAAACATATTTCCATATTAGTCATGTTATGAAAGAAAACCTAAACTTAAAGAAAGTAAACAAAGTCTGCTTCAATCCGTATTCAGACTCCGTCAGTGTTTTCTCTGGGGATGGAGAGCATTTTTCATCAGAAGTCCTTCAGAGTTCTCTTGGATCATTGTATTGATTAGCTGAAGCTTTAATTGACTCATGCCATCATTTATATTTAATGGAGAATTTGGTTGTTTTTTTTTTAAAGACAACTTCATCAAATTTTATTATAGTAGCTATAAGGTCCAGAATTCCCCCACCTAGGAAATCCTGTACCTCCCCCAAACAGTGGGGCAAGTGTGATACTGAAGAAAGGGGCCAGGAGCTTTGGTATGATTTTATAAGAAGTTTTAACAATTATGTGGGTACTTACAAACAGGGACAGTCTGGGGTGTCGGCCAGACCAACAGTGGATCCCCAAAAAGATCCTGAAAAAGTTCCATTGTAATTAGAGAAAGCAGATAAAGGGAAGAGTTATAGGGCGCTTCACTGCGGATTGGTGGATATTTTAGGTTTTTCTGCTTAGTTAATGTTTTGGCTAATATTTCACTGTATACTTAGTATTGAGCCTGGTTCCCAGACATCTAGGTATCATACCAATGCCGTTGGGTAAATGCCCAGGCACTCAAGGTTGTGTGCTGGTCACTGTGTCCTTGTTATGACTTTCACCAATTGGGACCCTACAGTAGCTGAAATTGAGAGATGAAATGATTTGCTTGAGGGCAGAAGGAATGTCTGTCTGCCTGTCTCAAGCAGGGCTGATGGGAAGATGCCAGTGGGGATCTGGGTTTGCCCTCAACCTTCTCCTGTTCACCACCTCCTGGGTTCCTGCCGCTTGACCTCTGGCCTCCTCTCCCTCCCACACCCATCCCCTCAGGACAAATGCCAGAACTCTTTGATGCCTTCATCTGCTACTGTCCCAGTGACATCCAGTTTGTTCATGAGATGATCCAGCATTTGGAGCAAACCGACTGCCGGCTGAAGCTGTGTGTGTCAGATCGAGACGTCCTGCCCGGCACCTGCATCTGGTCCATCACCAGCGAACTCATTGAGAAGAGGTCATTGGGAAGGGGGTCAGATCGGGGAGAGGGAAAAGAGTCCTGCTTCAGAGGTGAAGAGCCTTAGCGTCAGGTCTCTGCTCTGCCTTGAGCTTACTGTGTGACTTTGAATGTCACCACACCCTCCCTAAGCCTCAGTATCCCTATCTGTAAAATGAAGACAGTTATACATGCCCTGCCCAATTCAGACAGTCACAGAATGTCAGTTTCAGAAGAGACCTTAGGGGCCTCCCCCTTACCACAAATCCACTAAGTGGCCTTTCAGCCTTGAGGGAGAGGGAGAACCCCCTGTCCCCCAAAGCAGCCACTATGTTCCACTTTGGACAGCTCTAAACCTCCCTTTTTACAGTCTCTACTGATTGTTCCTAGTTGTAAGGTCATGGAGTCAATGAACGGATGAGCGCAGAAGGCAGAGCAAAGAGGATTTGGAGGCAAATGCGTTGAATTCTCAACACTGCTGTTGACACATTAATACCGCGTGCACATCACAGCCTCTCTGGGCCTAAGTGTCCTCCTCTGTAAATAAGGGGGCTGACCAAGATGACCCCTGAGATTCCTTTCAGCTCTAAATCTGTTATTCTGAAGAAAGGCAGCTTGGCTTAGTGGCCAGAGAGCTGGCCTTGGAGTCAGGAAAACCTGGGTTCAAGGGCTGACTCTGACCCATCCTGGCTGTGTGACTGGGGGAGAGACACCAAACCTCTCAGGGCTGGGCAACTCTCAAAGACTAAAAAGTTGCAGGTCAGTTGGTTTTCATTTTAGCATTTATTAAGCTCCTACTATGTGCTAAGCACTTTACAATAATTAGCTCATTTAACCCTTCCAACAACCTTGAGATTATTATTATCCCCACTTTACAGTCGAGAAAACTGAGGCAAAGAAAGAAAGATTCAGGGACTTGCCCAGGATCACAGAGCTAGTGAGGATCTCAGGCCAGATTTGAGCTAGGGTCTTCCTGACTTGCCACATAGCTGCTTCCAAACTGCCTCTGCCTCTCTCCAGGTGTCGAAGAATGGTTGTTGTCATATCTGATGAGTACCTGCAGAGCAATGAATGTGACTTCCAGACCAAATTTGCTCTTAGCCTATGTCCGGGTAAGCATCCCCTGCGACCAACTTTTCTGGGTTCTGAGATCATGGGGCTGGGTAGGGGTGGGGCACCAATATTGAGAGGGGAGAGGGAGGGAAGGAGGAAAGGAGGAAGAGAGGGAGAGAGAGAGAGAGAGGAGGAGCAAAGGGAAGGAGAGAGAGGAAGAGGGACAATGGGAGACAGGTGGGGAGGGAGAGAGGGAAAGAGAGAGAAGCTCTCTGTTCCCCTCCATAAAAATGCCCTTGGAGATCCCTGAACACGTTAATTCATTCAGTTGGATATTCTCCCACCAGCCTACCTTCCAGCTCCCTTTTTTTCTGTTGTCTTGCTTCATTAAAATGTTAGCACCTCAAGGGCGCTTATAGGGCCCTTTTTCTTGGTCATGTTTGGGTACTCAGCATTTAGCGCAGTGCCTGGCCCATCCTATTGCAGACAAGATCTCGGCCTGGGTGACAGCATTAACTGGCTAGCTGGAAGCCACAAGAATTAGCTTTTACGGAAGACGACTCTCCTTTGCTGTCCACATTCTCTTCTTGCACCTGATGGGGCCTCCAGCTGCTCTGGCCACAGCAACCCTGTGGGAAGAGGAAGGGGTTAGGTCAGGCCCCACACAAGTGCATTCAGGTTTTGGAATGTGCACGTATGTCTTCGAATGCCACCTAAAGCCAGACTGGGCTACTTCTTCATACTTTCTTGGTTTGGATTTTTGACCTCTTCAGTGAAGAGCTCCTTCTCCAAACAGTGAATGAATGAAAGAATGACTGAGTGAAAAAGCATTGATTAAGTGCCTCTTATGGAAGAACGCTATAGGTCATAATAGAAAGAATAGAAAAGCAAGGCCTTCATAGAGCTTACATTCTAATGGGGGACAGAGAGAAGGTGGTTTGGGCCTAGGAAGACAGTGGTCAGAGCAACCTGAAGGCAGCTTGGTATCAGGCCCTTTGCAAGAGCAGTGGGAGCATTGATTTGGCTACTGTTCCCAGGGGTAAATACCTGGATTGGTCTGGGTTTCCTGGTGGATGAATGGAAGAGACATGGACGGGATATAGGGCCAGCAAGATACAGTGGGTTAGGCAAGTTAGTGCACAGTATTCTGCCGTAGTAGTAGTAGTAGCAGCAGCAGCAGCAGCAGCAGCAGTAGCAGTAGTAGTAGTACTAGTAGTAGTAGTAGTAGTAGCAGCAGCAGTAGCAGTAGTAGTAGTACTAGTAGTAGCAGTAGTACTAGTAGTAGCAGCAGCAGTAGCAGTAGTAGTACTAGTAGCAGCAGCAGCAGTACTAGTAGCAGCAGCAGCAGCAGTAGTAGTAGTACTAGTAGTAGCAGCAGCAGTAGTAGTAGTACTAGTAGCAGCAGCAGTAGCAGTAG